TAATGAACTTAATTACCTTTAGCTCAAAATAATTTATATAAAATATTATACAAAAAAAAAAAAAAAATGAAGTGAATGAAATCATTATTTAATATTTTTTATTCAGCTAAACACTACACAAACATAAAATCTTTCCATTTCTATAAAATAAAAATTGTTATTATTTCTAATCTCTAATTCTTATCTCTAATTTAAAGAGTATTTGGTAGTCTATCACTTTCACCAGCATCACTAGCATCTGCTCCAAAATCGAACTTGATGGCTTTATATCGTAACGTCTAGCAACTGTATAAAATGTAAAATAATGCCACTTCATGAATGTGTGCGTATTTGATGCTGTCTGCGCGCCAACGAGAGAATGAAGTTAAAATTGTCAAACATTTGGCACGCATCAAACGTGTCAAAGTGACAATTCTTTATTTACATACAGCTGACATGCTGCTCCTAGGAATTCATCGCACTGATGAATGACAACAAAAAGAACACCAACAACAACACCAACAGCAATAACAATAACAACACTTGCTACTCCTGGTCACATTTGCGTGTCGCGACGTGAGTCGCCTGCTGAGCAACAAAGCTGAGACTGAGAGAGAGAGAGAGAGAGGGACATATTTGAAACTGTGTATGTATGTGTGTGTGTGTGTGTGGAGCATGTTGAAAAAGTGTCGCCATTGCCGCAGGTAAAATTGTTTGGCATTTATCAACGCCGCTTGCAGCAGTATTTTTGTTTTCTCTTTCGGGTTTGCTGAATGTAGCTATCAAGTTGTGAATTTTGTTTATTTATCAACAGATTAGCGAACTGCTGCCAGCCACAAAAATCTAAGAGTTTCTTATACAGCTAACACACACACTCTCTCTCTCTCTCCCTCTCTCTCTCTCTCTCTCCCTCTGTCTACTGGCAACTTGGTTTAATGGTACATGAAATCGCAATAAACGTGGCGCCCAGCGCAGGCCTTTGGGTTCTGCAGTAAAGTATAACTTACCCCCAGAGCGCACATAAGTCAAAATTTCACTGTGACAACCGAGTTGGGGGCCGAGTGCGTGTGTGTGTGTGTGTGCCTTGCTGGCTTTAACTGCCATCGCATTAAGCGTAGGCGTTAAAGCTGCACAGTTGCTCAGCCACATACGGTCCCCGGGGTCTGTTTTGCACTGTGTCAAGGCTCGAACTGTGAAATATGTTGCATACATTTCTGTCCATCCGGGCGACACATTTGCGGTTTATTGTAGGCGTGGCGCGTGCCAAACATGCTCACACACACACACACGCACGCACGCCCATTGTTAAGCCATTTGCTTGCCCCTCACGTACGCACAGATCGAGAACGGAGAACGGAGAAAGGAGAAAGGAGAATGGCGGAACTTCACTGTGCTGGAGTTCTTGGCGCATACTTCATAATTCATTTTCATTCCCTTTTCCATTATATTCATTTTCACATTTTCGTTTTTCTTTTTTTTTTTTGGCTCTTCTTTGCTCTATACGCCCAGCGTGTGTGGGTGTGTCCAGAGCTGTAGTTTCCTTGACAAATTGTTTTAAATTACATTTTCATAACATCTTATGAAGAGAGTCAAATATTTATGCGAGAAGTTTAAGGCAAATAAAGAATCAAAATAACTTTATTTATTTTTTAGAAATTTTAAAAAATATTCAAGTAAAAATATATGCATTAAAACTAAGCTTTAAGAAAATAAAAAAAGGTAAATATCTGTATTATGAAAAAAATAAACATATGCATATATTCAAATAAAAATAGATGCTTAAAAACTAAGCTTTAAAAAAAATTATAAAATAGAAAAACATTTGAATTAAAACAAAAATTATTCAAACATATGTATGAATTATATTAGGGTTTCTTATAACACCACTCACATAGAGCTTTAGACCCAAAAATGAACCCCATTCGACAATTTAACACTTTCATTTGGCACTAAGAGCTCTGGCTGCAGGCCTGCAAAAACAATTTTGCTGCAGAGCAATCAAACCGGGGGCACATGGCCAACATTGCCAAATATCCGTTGGCCAAACATCAATGAAATTCCAATAGGGCAATCGTTATTTGATGGCAAAACCGACCGTTACAATTCATCAAACAACAAATGGATATTACTTCATCGAGAACAATATTAAATACTTGAACGTAAAACATGAACGTACCACAATGGCCGACAGCGTCAGGCCCAGGATCGAGCCCAGACATTGACACTGACACGGGCACAGCCAGTGTGGTGGAGGCCAGTCCATTTGGGCTCCATGCCCACCCATGCCCTCCCATGCTTCGGCCGAAACGAGCTCAAAGTGTGTCCACATGGAAGCGAACGACTGCTGCGAGCCTGAAACAAAAGTAAATTGCAATAAAAGTTTGTAATTGACAAACGAACAACAAACAAAACTCCACTTCAGTTGCCAGTTGGTGGACATTGCTTGCCAGGCGAGAGAGAGAGCAGGCCATTGGATGTTGAATGTTGGATATGGATGTCGTTTTGGTCTGACTGGCGGCGGTGCCGGCAGTGGCATTCCATGTTTTCGGCGACTAAACAACTGGCGCTCAAATCAACAAAAACCGATTTTCAGAAACAGGAAGCAACAGCAGCTACATGGCCGTTGACAGGCATGCAGCCCCCTTCCTCACCCCCCCTTTCGTCAGCAGCCCGCCACTGCCGACTTCCTGCATCCAAAATGTGCCCGCATATTGACTTTGTGCGAGGGGCACAAACGATTTCGGATTTAAGAAATAAAAGTTTAGTGCCTCAGCGAGCAAATCTGCAGCCACAATGGCAAACAGCTAACCAGACTACACACACACACACACACACACACACACACACACGCTGGCAACAACAACAATGAGTTAGAGCAAACAAAAGACGCGTCTGTGGTTGGCTCTGCCTCTGGCTGGGTGGGTGAGCTGGCCGATGTGGGCTATAACCAATGTCGGCGGTTACTACTTTGACTTGTTTACCCCGCCAGAATCAGCAACAGCAGTTTGTATTGGGTATCGACCAGGGACCAGGGACTGGGTCAGGGCTCATTGGTTTCGGGCATCAACTGTAAATAGACTCCACTCCACTCCGCTCCACTCCACTCCACTCGATTTGCGATAGACAAACGACAAGTGCAATCGCTTAGCCACCGCTGGCGACAACTGGCTTCCGGTTCCGGGCGTGAAAACTATGCAAAGGCCAGCAAGTGGAGCTAAGCTCAAATAATTCTTGCAAAATTCTATAGAAAATCAATTGAATTTGCAGTTAATGTACAGTTGCTACAGTAGCCGCAGCACAGCTGAGTCGATTTGTATTTACCTGGCAAGCACTTGAATGTTAATTGTTTAATTTGCATGCCCCGCCTGGGAAATTAATGAATTTGTGATTAGCAGACGTGTGCATGCCTGGCTGGCCGAACTCATTTCAATTTGCGGCCGACAGCCCGCTGGGCCGAGTCGGTGGCAAGAAATGGCAAACGGAAACTTGACTCGGCTCAAAAATTAACAGCGATTTTCATGCTGGCTCGAGCTGGATTCGGATTTCGGTCTGAAGAGCTTTCGGTTGGGCCTGAACAAACGATGCGCTAATTTGACAAACCCACATGAGGTCCTTTACGTTTACAAATACTCTTCAAGAGAAATACGTGAGCAGAACCAGTCGCCCTCTGTATGTGTGTGTGTGTGTGCGTGTGTGCGTGTGTGCTTTGGCATGCCGTGTGCTACTCGAAACAGACGCGCACTTAACCTGCACCGCAGGAGGCTGTCGTAATTGCGAGTCCAGTCCAGACGTTGAATACCTCAGACCTGGATCGTTCGCACAATCAAATCGAAATGAAATTGACCATTAATGGGTATTTGGTATGTCTATCTCTCTCTCTCTCTCTCTCTCTCTCTCTCTCTCACTCTATCCCTCTCTGTTTGGACACCTCTGTACATATGCAACTGTCAACGTATTGAATAACATGCCGAATGCCACGATTTGACTGCCATTTTGCCACTGACAGCTATTGTGCATGTTGTTGACATGTGAGCAATTGTCACGCAGCAGCAGCAACGACTCAAATAGACAATGCAGCAGGAGACTATTAAGCTCAAGTGCCCTCAATGTGTACGTATGTATGATATACATATATGTATGTCAACAAACTTATGCCTTAATATTGTAAAAAGACTTAAGAGACATATTTAGCTTAGAGCTTGACCAGTATGTAAAGG